CCCGGCACGCTGAGGGTCCGCAGTGCCCCGGCCCGGCCCGCTGAGGGTCCGCAGCGCGCTCGCGGGGGACGACGGGGAAGTCGGCGCGAACGCGTGGCAAGCGAGGGAGGCGGGGTAGGGACCAGGGACGGAACAGGCCGGGGGGAGGAAAGCGTTGGGCAAAATCGACGTCGAAACACCCTCCCTCCTCCATGGCCTCCTCTGTCGTCGTCATCCGTGGAAGACAGCCGACACATAAAAGGGATGCAGAGGGATTTAAGCGAACAAACCCGGGTGCAGAGAGAAAAAAGGGTGGAAAAGAAAAACAGGTCATTGCGATACGAGTTTAGAGGGGGAAGAGAGAGTTGGGGACGTTGGGATGAGTTTCCCCCAAACCTCCTCCCCCCTGCGTCCTGACTAGGCAGGGTTTGGGGTTATACCTCTTCTTTCACCACCCCCCCAAACGCAAATAATAAGCCACTGGTTTTATCCCCACCCCCGCCAGAGGGCCGAGGGGAACCCCTTCCTCCGCACGCCGGACGAGGTCAGGCCCCCGCGCGAGGAAGGCGCTGTGGCGCCCGCGCGCCCATCCCCCCGCGCTGGAGAGGCGAAGTTGTGTCTGCGCGCGTCTGCGCCGGAGAGACAGGCCGCGAGCGCGGGGAGGGGGTGGGGAGAGCGAGAGGGTGTGAGTGTGTGTGTGTGCGCGGATCGGGGATGGCGGCTCGATCTCTTTAAATGCGCCGGGACGCTAAGAGAGCCGGAGGCTTATTTATTTAGTTTTTTTTTTTCCCTTCTCCTTTTGCTGCGCAGCCAAGCCACAGTCGGAATATTATGCATTGTTTTCTTAAGAAATAGTATTCTGGACTGTAGCTGCTACTGCGGCGGATCTCTCCCCCCCCCACCCCTGCCTTCTGTATCACTTCCTGCTCTGTGACTGGTTCAGTCCACAGCTCACCCCTCCTCCCTCGCTCTCTCGCTGTAATTCCATGCCGCCTCTGTGAGGAGATCGGGTGTTTCTGTGCACACAGTCGCACTTTTCACATGCTCGCAGTGCGCGGAAGATTTACACAGAACCGTCCACGGCAACTAGTTCACTCCTGCTTTTGAGCGCACAGGAGTAGGACATTTAACATCCACACACCCCCTGTCTTCACACGGGCGCAAGATAAAGTGTAACCATATCCTGGTTCGCGTCCATTCGGTATGCGTTGTTTTAAATAGGCTTCCCATTGTGCCCGCAGTGATAGTTTCTTTTACAGTACCCGTTCTGTTTTTTTTTAAACAAATATATAACACTTCTCCCCCACCCAGCACCAAACACACACCCTGACACACGTGAACTTGTTTGATTTCTATCTTGACTGTGTTTTTTCCAATGCACACAACCCCTTTCCTGAAGAGGAAAATGGGATTTAAAAAATAATATTCATGTTTTCTTTTGAACTGGCCCAATTAAAGCATGAGGGGCCTCTCAGGATACGGCACCTTTTAAAGCCGACGTCTGCGTTTCCCTTATTTTCTGCACCGCCACCCCCTCTACCATCCACTTTGCGATAAATGTTATTGCTGTTGTGATTTCAAAACACCCCGGTCGAGTTCCAGTCTCAGTCCCGCTCCACCCCGTCTCGGGACTCCAGTCCGGGTTTTGCGTCTCTCTGCGCGCCTCAGTAAAATGGCTGTGTCTCGCGGAGCCTCGTGCTGGTTTGATCAGTTTCTCGCTCTCAGTCTCGTTCTCTAACAGAAGCCCCCCCACATTCCGTGTCGGTTAATTTCATTCCCGGGATTTTTATTTATTTTTTTTCAATAACTTTTAATTCGCATCGGAGCCGGGAGTGGAGCCCGGATTCGGTCCGGTGTTAGGGGGGAATGAGCCGGGACACGGGTAAATTGTTATAAATAATTGTATTTATATTCAATGCTATTGAGTGTTTGATTGTGACTGACTCGCTGTGAAAGAGAGAGAGAGAGAGGAATATCATGGCCGCTCAGGTCGCCAGCGTCGCCACTCTCAACACCAGCCCGCCGTCCGAACTGAAAAAAGCGGATCGGGACCCACAGGAGGAGCCGGTACCGGGGGAGAAGCAGCAGGAAAATAAGGAACCGGGATCGGAGAGTGGATCCCCGGGTCAGAAGGAGCTACAGGACGGGGCCGATGGTGGAAATGCAGGGGGAGGAGGGGATCCGGAGATGAAGAACGGGAACGGGAATCCGTCCAGGGTGAACAATAATAATAACCAGAATGATTCAGGAGCTCCCGAAGGGAATAACCACCCCGGGATGGCACACCACCACCCCGCCGCTTTTCCTCCACCACCCTACGGTTACAGCCCGCACTACGGCCGGGGCCCTTTTCATCAACATGGCGGACAACAAAGCCCTGGCATGGCAGCTGCGGCGGGGCCGGCCGTGCAGCCAGGCAGCATGATGGACTCCTATCAGCCCAACTCGCACGACCACGGCTTCCCCAACCACCAGTTTAACAACTACAGCCCATTCCCCAATCGGACTGCCTACCCCGGCCAAGGGTACACTATGAATTCCCCGCGAAACAACCAGCCTCCGGCGGCTGGGGGGCAGCCAGCCAAGCAGCAGCAGCAGCAGCCGCCGCCGCCAGCGGGAGGAACTACAGCTATGGCTGTCACTTACAATAATCAGAGGTATACTATGGGAAACCCGCAGCCGACTTCCACCCCAACCCTAAACCAGCTCCTGACCTCTCCCAGCTCGACGAGGGGCTACCAGAACTACCCCCCTAGCGACTACAGTAACCAGGAAGGAGCTAACAAGGGACCAGTAGACGTGGGCAGCAGCAGTCAGTATGGTGGCCACCAGGGTTGGCAACAAAGGACCCATCATCCGCCGCCTATGAGCCCGGGAAGTACTGGGCAACCACTAAGCAGAAATCAGGTAAAGTTTCATTCGCCTCGGAGCCCGCGGTGCTTGGCTGTGTTTTACACTCGCAGCCCTCTGTAATGGTGTAGACTAGGACCTAGTGCAATGGACCTGCCATTGTCTCTCTCTCTCTCAGACTCTCTAAAATGGCTGCCTCTCAGCTTTTTCTCCACACCACCTCCTCTAACAGCGTTTATCTAGTAAAAACAAGCGGCTGGTCGAGCCGAATCGTCGTCTTTCCGAGCCCGGCGGTGAAAAGTCGAAGTTTGGGCGGTCGGGCTAAAAGGAGAGGCGACTTTTAAAGAGGTAAAATGACAGCGAAAGGCGTTTTTTTGTTTCGCGTGTTGTTTATCTGCAGGGCAGGACGGCTTAAAAGGTAATTAAAATGTGTAATTCTCAGGGCTTTCTGTCTCTTTCAGGGGTGGTTTTTTTTTCTGTTTCCCCTGTAGCCGCTCGTTAGCAACATTGGTGTGTCCGGGGGTTATAGCAACTAATAGATCCGCACGTTTGTATTAATTACATTTGCATATTTGGATTTAATAGTGGGGAAAATTCCCAGCATGGCAGTAAGATTTCCTGATCCTTGTAAAATGCATGTAACATTCCAGAAAATACTAAAACAGTGCTGGCTTTATAAACGTCTAGTTGGAGCTGGAAGTTTTTTTTAACACTATATTTGCTGAGTTTTTACATTGACCTCCTATTCCTCTCGGAGAATGGCGTTTTAATTCTGTCCCTGCATTCCCAGATCGGGGCTCTTCTTTCCTTAGGCTGCTAGTAAACATTGGCCAGTGATTTGAGTAAGTGCAGATTGCTTTGCTTTGGGATTTGAATTATGGAGGTAAAATCCTTCTGTCAAAGCCAGGAGACAGTTGGTCTTAGGTTGACATGCTAGCTGAGATCTGATTGGCTCTCCATCCTCTGCTCTTGGCCATTTATAATTGCATCTGATGTAATGCTACAACAATCCCTGATTAGCTCATATACTTTTACACTCTGAAGATAACAGAAACATCTTAACAACACACATTGCTTACTTTCAGGCATGCTGCCTCTCTTGATCCCAGAACTATCTTCTGTGATGCTTGTAAAAGGTCAATTTGTCATTGATAATGGTCAGTTTAATATGTTACATTTTCCCCCCAGTGTCTTACTTAGTATATGTCATTAATAAAAAAAAATCTTCCAGCTTTGTTCAGTGTTTATGGTTGTATTTGTGTAAGGGCGCATCTTGTTGATAGTTTGATCAATAATTTTAATAGTCACAGGTCATTTTTGGTTATGATGGAGTGTGAAATGGATCTGTTTGACTGGAAGGGGAAATAATTTTAAAACCTTAATGTCCATTTTCTCTAATCCGTATTAGTGATAACATCCACATCTCATTATATAAGCTTTTGAGCAGTTTCAATTATTAGAACTAGAACTTTTTCAGTTTTTTTAATCCAAGTAATTCTGTATTTCTTGGGTGTATTCACCAAGTAAACCATTCATTCATATATTATTATTAGGATAAATTAATAGTTTACTTAGTGGAATTTCCCCCCCACATAGTTTCTACCATCTGGATGCTATACTTTAATGCTTTTAATGCTTTTTTTTAAAGCCTCCTAACTTTATAAAAAGTTATCAGAATTGTTCATTTTAATTTTATTAACAATTACAGTATAGCTCAGAGGTTGTTCTTTTTCAGGGAGTGAAAATTAATTTTGAGATTGTTGTGGCTTTAGATAATTGATAAAGGGTCTTAGATTGATTGCACATTATAAAGATTAAATAAATCCTCTCATCGAGAATTTGAATTTAGGGTTCTAATTGCATAGCACAACTGATTAGATTATTTATAGAAGTGGATAGATGTCCATTTTTTACTAAGATGTAAATTGTAGTGTGTGATGTTATGAAATTGAATTCCAGTTGTCCATGTCACACTGCTGTGACTTTAGTGTGGGGTCATGTTTTCATTAATTTATTTTGTCTCGTTGCTTGGTCGGAAAGCTTCACATCACAGGTGGAGATCCCTGGGCTCTGAAAGATGCTTCGAGTCTGCAGTTTAGTGGCCTGGTGGATTGAAAAGAAAAGTGCCAAGCTGGAAATGACCAAAATGGAGGTGGCTGGCCTGTCGATTTCCATACATTTCTGTGGAGGTTATTAATAATGTTTACAACTGTTCTTCTTGCAGCAGATTATATGAGCTGTCAGTGTCTGTAGCCTGTCCAGCCCATGATCTTCGCTACAAAGTTGCAGTTACATACAGGGATTTGCAGGCTGCTCTAGGTTTTCTGTGCATCTTTAAAGCTTTGTAAGGAGGGAGCTGGCAGTATTGACTGTAGGCAGCTGTGAAGGTGCATGTGATTGGTTATGCTTGCCCTGTTGTGTACTTTTTTTTCCTGTTTATCAGATCCTGCTTTTCTTTGTGAAGGTTCTGTTTTTTTCAGGTTTTTCTTGGATTACGCGAAATTAAATTTCAGCGGATGAGTCTGAACAATGCAGCTCGGAACAATGCAAACACATTTCTAATACTGTTAACATTTCGCCAGAACTTTCCAAGCAATACTTGTATGATGAGCCGATTGCATGCATCTTGTATGTCGCCTCTACCCCTCTAAATTGAACTTCTAGGATGTATAACTTAGAATGCTACAGATTGAAATCTGCTTTCAACTGCTAGAGGTAGAACATCTTTTCCTTGCATGTTATGCTGAGTTGCTAATGATAAGTCATAAACACTGCTCAGTGCTCCCGATTTGAAAGGAAAATAAAAGGGCTTAGCTTTTGAACCTTTGTTGCGGGAAATGTAATTTTTTTCTTTTGGTTGTAAACAGGAAAAATGAATCTTCATCTTGGGCACCTTCTCCTGGCACGGTTTCATACAAGAAATGTGACATGCTGCTGTGTGTCTGCAAGCCTCAGTTAACTGTTGCTACTACGGTTCAGAATTTTTTTTTTTAATAAGGGACAATCAAACTGGTATTCAGAATAATGTAACCATAAAGATGTAACAGCCAGTCAGGGAGCTGTTGTATATTTGGCCTGTTGTGTTACAGGTTGTTTACTGGGGTACAAGGGCTTCACTTTCATTGTGCTCAAGTGACTCTTCTGGTATTTTTGTTTCTGTCCCTATTGAAATTGAACAGAGGCAGTACTGATGTTCTTTTATGGAACTAGAAGGAACAGAGGACTTTGAAAGTGAAGGAGAGATGAAAAAGGAAAAACAGAGTTGGAATACACATTTTTGGTTTTCAGACTGCTCATCCTGGTGAGGGTCGTGAGCACCCAGGGCACACCCTGGAAACACAGGGCACCGTGCAGGACTGCGAGCGTGGGGCTGCTCTCGCCCGGGATGGGGTGGGGATGCCAGCTGTCGAAGGGCACAGCTCCCAGCAGTCTATCGCACCTAACCAGTGTGTATCCAAAAAACGAAATATTCAAGGAGGGCAGCCCCCTTGGAATGGATACATATTCCTTTTAATAACATATTACAGATATTTACAGAACTGTAGTGCAAAATCAGGAAATGTTCGGTTTGAAAGCTTCTAGCAAGGATATAAGATTTTCTCATGTGCTAAGGAAACTGGATTCAAAACTGCAGCAGAGAGGCAATGGAGAGTGACACCCTGCAGTTTGCCTTGATTTCTGTTTAATTATCTTATACCTTGCTGGCCTTTACCTGGTCAGGCTCCCTGGATGTCGAGTGGCCCAGATGTGCTTTCTGCAAAAACAACACTAGAAGGCAAGGAGCACACTAGCTGAGGGGTGAATTAAGGCCTAATTAGATTTAACTTTTGTGTTGGCACATCATTTTAACATTTGAGTGGAATCAATCTTTCACATAGATTATTTTTAATAGGCTTTAAGAGAAAACACTTAAGAGACTGTTCTTTGGTGATCCTGCACAGAGATGGTGTTAAGATAGTCTGGCTAGTGTGACCTCTAAGTACTGTGTACTGCTACGGACTAGAGTATCTGCTTTAATTTCTTGATCTAATTGCAAAGAATTTGATCCCTCATCTATGTAGAATTTTAGGGGCTCTTGAATATATTGCCATTAAGAATGAAAAGGGATTGGGACTTTAAGAATGCTGTTTGGTGATCCTGCACAGAGATGGCTTCAGATAGGAGAGTCTGCTCCTCTTAAGTGTACACTGAGCTGTTGTTTTCAATCTCCTGCTCATTAATAAGTCAGATGCGTGTGTGGCAGTGTGTGTATTTACAACTGCCTGCCCATGTGCTGATGTTGCTCTGCGCTCTTACATTTTATGCTCAGATGTCGTAGGCAGCAGATTAGAGGGCTGGGGTTCCAATCACTGTCTGTAGACGTCCACTGGGCCCTGTTTACAGCAGATATGTGTAAGAAGTTATCAGAGCTGGCTAGCTTAGAGGTTAATGTACTTAGTTTACATCTTAGATCAGGTTAAAATTCATTTATTAATGCCGAATAGCAACAGGAAAGCATGGGTGAAATTTGCAAGTCCACTGACTTCCTGATAGATTTCAGTGGTTTTCTGGAATATTCCACTGATGGGCTCTCCCAAAAAGGCAAAGATATGCATGTAACCTGGTGTTTTGAAGGTAGTAATATCCCCTAGCCTGTTTCAAACCCCACTGATTTCATTAAAAGGTCACCAGTTTCCTAGGTTTAGTTCATTTATATTCCTGCTTTATTTTCTTTTAGCAGAAGTTAATCTTGCTAAAGGCAAGTGCTAATTAATGTTAGGGTCCACACCCATCACACCTTTCTTACCACACTGGACAGGATACTGTTTCTGAGCCCGTGAATTTGGTGCTTTCTGAACTTTGCTGGGGACTACACTGATGATTTAGAAAAACTGCAAAGTGCTGGTCAGTATCATCCCAAAAAAGATGACATTTTTTTTGCAAAAATTTCAAACATTTGAAAGTGCATCTGTGCTTTGGTTGTGTAGAAGAAGTGAAGAACTGCAGAGGAGTGAAGAAGTTAAAGGCGAAATGATGAAAGCTGTTCTCTGTAACAGTGAGTTTCCTTTTTCTCAAGG